TAGTTTACACAAGTTTATTTTATAAATAGAAGATGCAGTTAATTTTTCTTTGTTCTAAACCATATAAATAAATCAAATTATATCACTAATAATATCATTCTTCACACTACCCGCTTATGTCTTCTTGGGGATCCCAAAATAACTGAGAGAAAAAATAGACTTTCTAGACAGAATTTTGAATGTACCATGTTGGGGAAGTTATTTAATCTTAATAAACTTCAATTATCTTGCCTGCAATTAGGGTAATGGTGACCTCCATGACGTTAAAGATATATTTGTAAACAGTTTTGTCATATATGTTCATTATTAATATATAATTACATATGATATGTAATTATAGACATCCACATACAAATATGATATCTTAAATGCAAGGCACAGTGCTTGGCACACACAAGGTACCAGATAAACCAGGATTTGTTCAATCTGACTCCCGTATCACATGACTACCTGTTCACCAGAGTCTTGCCCTCCAGCCATGAGTACTGCTATTCACCATTTCATTTGGCTCTCAGGATTTATTTATTTTTTTTATTTGACAGGTAGAATTACAGACAGTGAGAGAGAGAGCTCTTCCTTCCGTTGGTTCACTCCCCAAATGGCCGCAACAGCCGGAGTTGCGCCGATCCAAAGCAGGAGCCAGGTGCTTCCTCCTGGTCTCCCATGCGGGTGCAGGGCCCAAGCACTTGGGCCATCCTCCACTGCCTTCCCAGGCCACAGCAGAGAGCTGGACTGGAAGAGGAGAAACCGGGACAGAATCCGGCACTCATAGGGGATGTCGGCACCACAGGCGGAGGATTAATCTAGTGCGCCATGGCGCCGGCCCCTCTCAGGATTTATGTAGACACCAAATGAGAAGACACAAACATCATCTTCTGAAGAAAATTCAGCATATCACTTGGAGCACTTACCAAATGCTCTTCTTGGTTATTCAGTTACAAAGGAAACACAAATGTCAAAGGTTATCATTCTATATTATTCTAGTAGTCACTACAAAAGCAATTACTATCCCTAGTTTCTCCCAATTCAGAGAGAAACAGTCCTCAGAACATATGCAGATATCAAAGCAACTACCTTGAAAAAGGATATCAAACTATTTATATTGACACATCAAATGCTGTTTAAAGGATATCATGTAACTTTTTGCTTGTTTGTTTGTTTGTTTTTTTGACAGGCAGAGTGGACAGTGAGAGAGAGAGACAGAGAGAAAGGTCTTCCTTTTGCCGTTGGTTCACCCTCCAATGGCCGCCATGGCCGGCGCACCGCGCTGATCCGATGGCAGGAGCCAGGAGCCAGGTGCTTTTCCTGGTCTCCCATGGGGTGCAGGGCCCAAGCACCTGGGCCATCCTCCACTGCACTCCCGGGCCACAGCAGAGAGCTGGCCTGGAAGAGGGGCAACTGGGACAGAATCCGGCGCCCCGACCGGGACTAGAACCCGGTGTGCCGGCGCCACAAGGCGGAGGATTAGCCTAGTGAGCTGCGGCGCCAGCCTAAAGGATATCATGTAACTTTTAAAAGGCTTCTTTGATTTAAGAAAATATAATAAGTGAATTAGAAAATCAGCAAATAAATTAAAAAGTTCATTTTGTTTCACATCAATAAATGAACTCTTTTTAAAAGGCAAAAAACTCTTTTAGGATAATGAAACTATATTGTATTGTTTTGTTTGTAACTCATTTTCTAGAAATCTAAGTAAAAATTAGTTGGGCATATATTTAAAATGATGCAGCTATGTCTTTAAAAGAAAAGGAATGGCCAGTGCCGCGGCTCACTATGCTAACCCTCTGCCTGCGGCACTGGTACCCTGGGTTCTAGTCCCGGTTGGGCGCCGAATTCTGTCCCATTTGCTCCTCTTCCAGTCCAGCTCTCTGCTGTGGCCTGGGAAGGCAGTGGAGGATGGCCCAAGTGCTTGGGCCCTGCACCCACATGGGAGACCAGGAGAAGCACCTGGCTTCTGGCTTCAGATCGGCGCAGCGCGCAGGCCGTACCAACCATTTGGGGGGTGAACCAACGGAAAAAGAAAGACCTTTCTCTCTGTCTCTCTCTCTCTCACTAACTCCGCCTGTCAAAAAAAAAACAAAGGAATGTCTTCTAGCTTGTTGAATTTTCATCTACTAAAACACCTGTACTGTGTTTATAATTTGGAAATATGTGTGATGAAACATAAGCATGTTTATAGTTTTTATTCTCCTTATCATTATATATTTCTTAAACATGAAAGTATTGGAGACTTGTCATCAAAACAACAATTTACTAATTAAATTGAATCAATGCATGTGTGCTATAGCTAAATATCTTAAAAAATAGTTTGATTCCTTAAAATACATGTTATTTATGATTGCACTTGGGAATTTAAACCTTTCAATTTTGACTATCTACTCCAACCAGTAAAATACAATATAAAAAATAACTCCATTCACAAGCAGATTAATTTCATTTTACCTAATTTTTACATTAACCCTTCATTAAAGTTCTGACTAAAATAGGGAACTATGGTGCTGACTACACAGTTGGTGAACATATGAAATAATTTAAAATATTTCCCAAAGCTTTTATATCATACAGTTCTTTAACATTTTAATGACTTTTCTGAATATGTGAAGCAACTCCTATAAGAAAATTAACATGATTATATAGTGTGGCTAAGTTTTAAGCAATTTACCTTGGCAGATTTCAATGTATGTATGAAGTTGACTTTAAATATTAACAATTACAGCATGATGTTTTGATATACATATAGATAGTGAACTTAGCAATCTACTTTTAAAGTGTACTTTCAATATTTACTTATAATCAAATATGATTAATTTAGCCAGTTGGTTCCTGGCACTACTTTCAGTAATGGAAAATTATCAGAAGCCACTCTATCTTGATTGCAATAGCCTGTACCTTTATTGTTTGTTCAGATTCTTTTTGCATCAAGTTTATAATGAAAACATAACTCATAAACAGAGGTATTGGAAAACACACAATGAGGCCACTGTTCTCAGGAACAAATGAAATTTTCAATAACTCATAAGGTAATTTGAGGGCTCCTATTATATGATCCTTAAACAAACGATAAAATTCTATAGATTTTTCATTTAACAGTCAGGGTATCTCAATATACATAACCTATAAAATAAATTAAAAGTGAATCGAAGCATGTTTAAAGTTCTTGATTCATGAAGAAACCAGTTGGGAAACGTGTAGGCTCAAATGAATGTCAAATATTTATAACCTTTGGGCCTGGCAGCAGAGGCGCGTTCTCGGGAGAGACAACACGTTCTAAATGGTGTGTTCCATTCTCCTCTCCATCCCATTCATAAAACGCAGTGGGATCGCTCTGCGCGGTTAATGCACACAGGCTGATGTTTAGCGTTAATTGGCTGGACATAGAAACCAGAAACATCACTCATCTTTACTTAAAATCAAAACTTAAGCAAGAAACACAGGCAGAGGCACCTTTGCGTAGGAGTCGCCTGCGTTTTTCGAAGGAAGCAAGTCTAAGAATGTGTCCGACCTGGGGAAAGCGAACGCACAACAAATGGGCACCTCACTCTGGAAAGCTAAAGGGGAGGCTGGGGAGGGGGTCTCAGAAACCGAGTAAGCCACCGGTGTGGACAGCGACAGGAGGCTGGGACGGCGCTGGGATACGTCCAGACGCGTTTGCTATTTTTCGGGGATACTGGGACCATAGTCTTGATTGAAGAAAGGGGACTTTGGGGACCCCCGGCACTGGCTTTGCCTTTCTTCTTGTGCCCTTAACCAAGCAGAATTCCCTCCGTCCCGACTCCAGCGGAGCGCTACAGACCCCCAACCTGACCGATCCGCCTTAAATCCGCGAGTCTGCATCGCGGTCACAACCCGGGAAAGCCAGAGGATCAATGGCAACACGAGATTGCACGTTCCTCCTACTTTTGTTCGCCCGGGTTTGCATTTTCATCAGACACTCTTCACCCTCCTTACAGAGACCGGAAAAATAATGAACACCCTCAGCCCTCCTCAAGACAGCCCCCACCGCCGCCACACGGAGTGCTCGGCCCCAGGACCACAGCACAGAGCCCGCATCTCCGCGGGTGACCGCCTGAACCTCCCCGGGGGTCAGGCACAGTTCCTGCCCTGAGGGAGGGGAACAGCCGCTCTCCCTTCCTCCCAGGGCCACGCTTTCTCTATAGACCCACCTGCATGGGCGCTTCGTGTCTCATACTTGACAGGTGTCCTTTCTCTCAGGCTAGGACAGCGCTGGCCGGGGCGCCTGGTCGAGCGTGCGTGCACAACCCGCGAGCCGCACGCTCCACACTCCGCGCTCCCGGGGTTCGCTCACCGGCTCCAACATCAGCACCGGAGCTGTCCTCTCCCGGCTCTGCACACGCGTACTAGCCGGGCGCCCCGCGCGCTCCTGGGAGTTGTAGTCCAGGGCCGCCAGGCTTCCTGGTAAGCCGGCGAGCCGAGAACTACATCTCCCGGCAAGCAAGCAAATAAAACAGGCTCGCTCCACGGCCGCGCTCGGCCGCGGAGCCTCCCTTCTCCTCCCTTCCTAGCGCTCCTGCCTCTCACCGCTCTCTGCCACCGCTGCCCGTTTCCTCAGAGCACACAGGAAAAAGTGGCCCCGGTTTCTCTCAGCTGGACATTTTTTCTTTGCTAACCATCGCCTTCAGAAGTCAGATTGTGATTTTGCTGCTTAGGAAACGGACTACCTGGTGCGCATTCCCGACACACACGAAGCCCAAGCTGCGCTCTGGGACTCCCTGCCTCACCCCTCCCCATCCCGAATCTGGAAAGTTTATACATTTCCAACGGCCGAGTCGAGTAGTCTTTCAGTCTTATTCAACAGACGTAGGAGAGAAAGACGACGAATGGCACAGGCACACACGGAAAGTGGATTATCCGCATAATTGCACTGAGAAGGTGCGCGCCCTCACACACACGCGCGCGCGTACACACAACTCCACACAGCGAAGTCCACGGCAGCGAGACGACTCGCCGAGCACTCTGAGGGGCTCGCTTCTCTCGCTTACCTTTCCGTACAGCTCCATTGTAACTCAAGCAAGTCCCCTTGCTACAAGTGAGATGAGGCTTCGACGCAGGAAGGGGGCTAAACTGCAAGGACAACACAATAGAAGGGGTAGGGGTGGCGGCTGGCAGAGAGAGACGACGGAGTGGAGAAGACAGCCAGTGTAGATGACGGCTTCTTCCTCTGGAGGGGAGGCGTGGAGTCTGCAGGTGGCAGCTGCAGAGCAGGAGCCGGGAGTCGCTCAGGAAGTGCCGGGGGCGCGATCGCGCCGAGCCGCCCCTCCCCGGCCCTCCCCGCAGGCCCCTTCCACCGTCAGCAGCGCGCGCACGGCCGCCGACCGGGCTGGGGAGCTGATAGGACACCGCGTTACTTACCCACAGCAAGTCGCGTGAAGCGGACACGCTCGTCACCGGAGCCCAGAAGCCCCGTCAGAGAACGAGACGGGAGACCTCCGCGAAGTTACCCTGCCCTTGCACACAAAGCCGTTCCTCCTCTTACAATCGTACTCCTTCCAGACTCTCAAAAAATGCTCTTCAAACCTTTGCGCTTTACTTTTGTTGCCTTAGTCCCTCCTGTCTGTTGACCACTATGTGTGACGACCCCTGTGCTCTCCACCCAGGTAGACACAGCCCTCTCCTCTTAAGCGCGCAGCATCGGACGAGGATCCCTGCCTTGGCCTGAGATCAAAATTATTATGTAGGAGGCAGAGTAGAAAGCGAATGTTCTAGTCCGTATTCTGTTACTAAAGACACAATAGCACAGCCTGGATACATTTGGAAGAAAAGAGGTTTATTTCGGCTCACAGTTCTGGTTGGAGGGCAGGGAAGGGGGAGACAGCATCAGAGGATGGCGTTCTTGCAGGTGTAGGACATCAGGTGGACAGAAACAACTCTGTCTCTTTTGGCCTCTCTCTCTCTCGCTCTTGTAAAGCCCCATTCACTCTTGAGGGCTCTACCCTAATGACCTAATCTTAATCCTCTCTTTTAGGCCCCACATCTAAACACTGAAGGCAGGTTGTTTTGTACCCTGTTAACAACACTAGATGGAGATTCAGTTTCAATAACTGACACCAGGGGGGACACACTCTACCCTTATCCAAACCACAGCAAAGAACCATGGCAATAGTGGCATGGAAGCCAACTGAACTCCACCACTGTCTACAAAGCAATAGAATAGACATTCAGAAATTTTCTTGGAAATTTGCTTTTTGGGAGTGGGTTTAAATTATGTTTTCAAGCCATGTGTAAGGAATGAGATTCATTAGATTTGATGAGGGGTTCAGGAATTAGTATTTTAAATAAAAACTTCAGGGGCCAGCAAGCTTGTTGTTCAGCAGGTTAAGCCTCTGCCATCCAAGCTGCTGTTCCACTTCAGATCCAGCTCCCTGCTAATGCACCAGAGAAGGCCGTGGTTGGTGGCCCAAGTACTTGAACCCCTGTCACCCACGTGGGAGACCCAGGGAGAGTTCCTGGCTCCTAGCTTCAGCCTGGCCCAGTCCCAGCCATTGTGACCATGTGGGAAGTTAATCAGCAGATGGAAGATCTCTTTCTGTCTCTCCCTATTTCTCTCTCTGTTACCCTGCCTTTCAAATGAATAAAATAAATCTTAATCTCCAGCAATTCTGATGTAAATGGTTCCTTTGCCGTAATTTGAAAATTGCCTTGAAAGAATTTATGTTTTAGATGTTTTCAATCATATAAACTTCAAAATTTTTACAATATGGACTCAGTAATGCCAGTAGCCGTGTATAGGGAATCTGCCATATTCAAAGCATCCCATTAATTGTTATTTTATAAACATCGAGAAAATGTCTTCCTTTATTACCACAAGTAAGAATGTAATGTGGGTCCAGCATCATGGTGCAGCAGGCTAAGCCTTTATTTGCCACACCAGCATCCCATACAAATACTGGTTCAAATCCCAGTGCACCTGGGAAAGCAGAAGATGGCCCAAGAACTTGGACTCCTGCCACCTACATGGGAGATTTAGATAGATTTTCAGGCTCCTGGGTTCAGCCTGGCCCAGCCCCAGTTATTGTGATCAGCTGAGGAGTGAACTGGTGGGTAGATGATTTCTGTCTGTCTCACTCTGTCTCTCTGTAACTCTGCGTTTCAAATAAACAAATAATTTTTGGAAAAAAAGAATGTAATGCAACATCATCTATGTAACATATTTTTTAACAACAACTCAGAAAATAAATTTTAAAATGTTTACTTCATGGTTGAACAGCATATTATGGTTAGAGAAATTTAACTTAAATTAGCTAAGAACAAATTAAATTTAAAAATAAAAGCAAATTGAATATCCATGTGTTTTATGATAGTAGCTTATTGGAAGTAAAGCTTCCGTAATTTTTAAAATAAAACATATCTAAAGGTGATTGTATAAATCTTGAGAAATACTAAAAAATTTAAGAATTTTTTATTTATATAAGGTGAACAAATTTTATGTGTTCCATATGTACATTTAAGAGTATAATGATACTTCCCACCCTACCCTCCTGCCTGCCTATGCTCCCACCCTCCCTGCTCCTTCCTTTCTTATTTCTTCTCTTAATTTTCACAATGACATACTTTTCATTTATATTATGATCACAAGCTTACCCCCCCCCCACTAAATGACACATTCAACAAATAGTAAGTAGAAGCACCACTGTTCCTCAACAGCATAAACAAGGGCTGTAAACAACAAATTTCAAAATGTTAATTTCACTCATATACATTACATTTTTGTATTCTGTATATTGGCTATCACAAATGAGGGAAAACATGATATTTGTCTTTTGGGAACTGGCTTATTTCACTAAGCATCTAAGCATAATGGTTTCCAGTTGCGTTCATTTTGTTGAAAAAGACAGGCTTGCATTCTTTTTTTTGGCTGAGTAGTATTCCATAGTGTATCCATACCACACTTTCTTTATATAGAAGTATTTGGCATTTAATATTTGCCCAGCCACTTAGAGCCTGCCTTTCTTCTAAAAACTTCATATAATATAGATACTATCATCATCTTCTAATACTCTTAGAATTCAGAGTCTGATATAGAATATATTTAAATAATACGTATGTTAATTATAGTTCTCTGAGAAGCCTATTCCTTCTTATAACTTTTCTTTTTTTTAAAACATATATTTTATTTTATTTTGAAAGACAGAGTTACAGAGAGAGGAGAGGCAGAGATAGAGAGGTCTTCCATCCGCTAGTTCACCCCCTAGATGGCCACCCCAGATGGCCACAATGGCCGGAGCTGCGCTGATCCGAAGCCAGGAGCCAGGAGCTTCTTCCGGGTCTCCCACACAGGTGCAGGGGCCCAAGGACTTGGACCATCTTCTACTGCTTTTCCAGGCCATAGCAGAGAGCTGGATTGGAAGAGGAGCAGCTGGGTCTCGAACCGGCGTCCATATGGAATGTAGGCGCTTCAGGCCAGGGCGTTAACCCACTGTGCCACAACATCAGCCCCTCATCTTATAACTTTTCTAAAAGTATACATATTCTTGGGTTTTTTAGTGTGTCTTTTGTTGGTGAAGAACTAGTAAGTACTGATTTCAAAAAGCTAGCGTTGTGGAAGATTTTGAGGAGCTGAGTTCTGTCTGCTCATAGTTTCTTAGTTGAGTATTTGAGTGGAGGGAGAAAAAAATATTGTTAGAAATCAGAGAAACAAGTAAAATTTGACTGGAGCTATCTCTCTGTAGAGCAGAAGCAAGTTAGCTTTGCTCAAAATTGGGCTACCATCTACGAATTGTATTCCCAGCGCCACTAAATGGCTGCTGGAACTCTAGTTCTTACATCCACATTCCAGGCAGTAGGAAGAAAAAAAGGCTGAAAAAGAACATTCCTTCATGCCTTTATGTACTCCCATGCTCCAGTATTCCAGCGCCTAGAACTCCATCCCATGGCCGTAACCACTGCCAGGGAGGCTGGGACTTGTCATCTTTATTGGAGTGTACAAATGCCAAGCTGAAAAGCAAGAGCTCTGTTACAAAGGAAGAAAGGAAGAAAAGATATTGGGAGACAGTCGTAGCTTCCCACAGGACTTTGGAGGGTGTTGAAATAGAGCTTGCTGCTTTTCCCTCTTTGCAATTTTACTGAAATGTCAGTGTCTGGTTTTATAATGTACGTATTCCCAGAGACCTCTGGAAATTAACATCAACCAAAACCTTAAGATCAAGGAGTTACCCAAAAGTTAGAATATTACAGCTATTATTGATAAAACAGGGAAAGAGGGGAGCCTTCTCCACTGGAATTTAAATTTTAGGTTCAAAGTTTATATGAAAGCAATCTAAAAGGCAAGGCAAATGCAGTTAAAAGAAGGAAGAGGGACCTGCAGTAAATGCCATGGAACGTCACCAAGTTGGAATGTAAAGCAGGCCCAAAAAGGGTGAGTTACCTCCCCAAGGTCACCTAGTCACACAGACCATTAGTGGGAAAGCTGGGATGAGAACTCTTAACTCTGGCCTTCAGGTTCACTTTCTTTTCATTACCCCACATTGCTTTCATTATTGATTGGCTTTTGCTACCTTGTGTTTGTCTAATATTTAATAATATTCATTTTGTTGTTTATATATCGAGTGTTTGTCTATTATAATGTATTGCTGTCTGTCTGAGTCTGTGTCACCTCTGGTGTTTTATTTGGCTATTTGGCTTAAACAGAGTCAAGAACAAGAATCATTCATTATTAATTAACGTTGATGATGTTGGTTAAATTTTTAAAATAGCAATGCATATTTATTTCCACCAATGTCATTATGTGTCTGTTATTGCATGCTGACAAGCAAACTTGCTGAGATTTGGTGAGGGTTAATAATAGCTAGGAGATTCTCCTCCATTTTTATACAAGTCTTACCAAAATCTACAGTTCAAGGATGTGGCTGAGTATCAAATCTTAGCAATCTCTGGGACTATCTCCAGGATGTTTTTCTGGTCTGAGCCTATTACCTTTGTCTGACTCAGTATATTGTGGTTGGCTTTGATTTCAAATTTGTGAAGCATCTATACTAAGAAATGCTATTGATTGTCTCAGTTTCCCTTATAAAGGAGCTAAATATTCCCATGGCAGTATTGATTTTTTAATGAAAAGAAAAAATATTTTAACTCATTCCTGTTTGTGATGTTCCAAATATATTACAAATAAACAATATAAATGAGGTCCTTTGTAAAAAATAAGTAAACGTACTCAAACTGAATGTACAGAAAATGATGCTTTCATTCTGTGATATAAATATGATACTATTCCCATAGCTACCTTTTAAAAACAACTATTCTCTGATGGGCATTTTGTTT